AAAAAAAAAAAAAAAAAAAAAAAAAAAAAAAAAAAAAAAAAAAAACAACATGGACTGATATTCCTCAGCTCCTATTATTACACGGTTGTTGCAACGATCAACTGAGGACGAGGCGGACTCGGATTGTGCAAAAGATACGCTGTAACGCGATACCGGTGCTCAATACAATGCCGGACGTACATATACAACACAATTAATAGCCGAGCATAAAGACTTTTTGTTTACAGCTATTAGTGCGTGCGCTGAATTGATATCCATTGCGCAACACGCCAATCATGCATAAACAGCAGAAGCTTCAGTAGGTATTGAGTACTTGTTACGCGTATTGAATTTTTTAATTTTTGGCCAAATTTTTTGTTTTTTTTTTTTTTTTTCATCCACTCTGGAAGCGACGAACATTGTTTGCCAAACGAATATCTCGCCCCAAACTGAATCGTCCAAATACCATTCGTTAAATAAGCAAAGCCCCTTTTTCCCAGTGAATACATATTAATACATCCCTTAAAATAAGCAATTGGCTGCACAACGATTCCCTTGATCCACAGAAAGGGTGCAAAGAACAGAGAGATAAACGCCCCCTTGGAGAATTTTTTCCTCCCACCCGTAGGTTACATACTGCTGTATAAAAATAAGCGAAAAACGCACCCACGCGCTTACAATACACCAGCAGAGGCAATGAGGGGGAGGTTACGGTAGGGTGGGCCGCACGCGGCGCAGCCGGCTTAAATCATCCGCCCTCATTACCATTCCAAATAGGCCGCGATTAACGAGAATTAATTATCCAGGGCGCAATATCGGGCCTCTGCTAGTCGCCCCGGCGCCCCCTCCTCCACCTCTGCTACCGTATCTCGCTTGTGCTCTTTTTGCGGTGGCTCACATACATACATATACGTATACTCCCTCCGATTTATCTGCCTTTTCATTTTTCGCACTGCCGCGGGAAACGTTGAAACGCGCTTTTTTTTTTTTTTTTATTACTTTTCCACGCGACTCTGTGATACAAACGGTACATGTGATTTTTTTTTTTTTTTGTGTATTTTATGTACAAAAATGTCTTTTCTTCTAGTAAACACTGGATTTATGTGCTATATAGGTATATGGGACGCCAAGATGTAGGTCTGAAATTCCGGTCGAGCACCAAAGTTTAGGAGATGGAGGGTTGACGACGACGGCAACGGCTAAAGTTCCTCGCGCGAGGGATTTTTTTTTTTTTATACCATCATCTTCCATCCCTTTCTCTCTCTCTTTTCCACTTTCTCAACGAAACCGTAAAAGATTTTAAGGGGTTTAAGCACACCAAGTTTGAAGCCACGTACGAGTTTTGAATAAATTCATCCGCGATACATATATATATATATGTATGTATAAGTGTAAGTTTTCACAACCCCTGTATGGCTGACGCAAACGCGTAACGATGAAACTTCATACGCTCGACAAGAGCGGATCTTTTTTAAAACCCCGGTAATACAAGTTATAACAACATTATCGGGGCTTTTTGCGCGCTTTCATCCCCTCTATGCACGGTATAAATGTATACCATATACTTTGGACGGTATATATATATAGCAGAGCACAAAGGCTGTGCATCGCGATAATTGATATTCGTTGCAGGCTTCCACGTACATGTATACAATGTGTACGGGCCGCCCACACCTTTTCGTCTCCACTCGCGAAATACCCCAGAGCGTCGACGTCGCTGGTTGGTGTATACACATCACGGGGGAGGGAGGGAGCACAAAGGGGAACAACAACGCGCCCCCGGAGATCGGCCCGGAAATGAGTTCTGCGCTTCTCCTCCTCTCCATCCTCTTATCCACTTTCCTCCCTTTTCCGAAAAACCGCGAAATCCTCTCGCCCGATTCAACCCTCTCCTCCCCTCTGTGTGTTTGTACGGTGACGTTCTACTTAACGACCTGCGCGTGTGTGTTTTTTTTTTTTTTTTTTTTTACCCCCTCAAAAAAGTGCGATCCCATGTAGCGTTTGTCGTCGTAGTTAGCAAGCGATTAGATTTACTCTTTCGAGTTTTCTTGGGGCCATTGTGTCGCACTGTGTCCCGGCTCGGGAGTGGCTTGATTGGCCATTGTGTTTTTAATCGCACGGATCAGTTGAAAGTCGCGATGAAGCTATTTTTATCGATCAAAGAGCTGATGAGCAACATTGTTAAAAAATTCAGTAAAGATTTTGTAAAAAAATAAAAAAATAACGTGATGTTTCGTTTGCTTTGTGATTGCAGCGTGGACAGGGACCGGTTACGGGAGCGCGAACGACAAGCCCGCGTGGCCATGTCGGTCCAAGCTCAGCAGGCCGCGGTCCTGGCGGACCCGGACACCAGTCACGGCCACCACCATCATAGCCATCACAACCTCGGCCGACAGATCGGGCCAGATCTCGCGATCGAGTCGCTCTTCCGCGCCCCAGTCAGGGTAAGTACCACCTGTGTTTATACATACATACATACATATATATTCATGGGCTCTTGAAACTTTGTCGCAAACTTTGGCGAAACGATCGATTTTGCGACAGAGACGAGAGCTCGCCTTCGTACACTTACACACACATATACATATACATACGCAAACTACGGAAATGCATGCCAGTGTGGGTGGAAGCAGAGGTCAACGACTTTACTATAAACGATTAGTCCGACTGTCGAGAAGTTGGTCGGACACGGATGGCCGTCTTTGATCCTTGCGATGCCACTGGGGTTAAGTGATAGTTTAACAAATGGCGTCGAGGATAGCTCTTGTCTTTTTTCTTTTCATATAAACTCGTGATCAATCGATCTCATGGATGCAGTTGAGATTGAAAATCAAACATCGAGTGACTGAAGAGATGAACTCGCGGTTGTACAAAAAAAAAAAAAAAAAAAAAAAAAAAAAAAACAGAGCCAAGAGCACAAATCACGCGTCCAATTGCATTCCGACAAACGAGCGCATAAAAAACACTTCCCCTATGCGGCGTGATTTCATTGCGAGAGTCGGAAATTTAAATCTACCAGCGTCGTTCCGGTGTTATATCTATATACATATATACCATCGGTACGTAGCACAAAGAGAAGCGGAGAAAGAAAGAAAGGGCTATGGGGGGGTGGGCATTGATGGAGCGACGTTCTCCAATAAATCCTCATAAAATCCATAAAGTTTAATAAGGAACTTTGGTGGAGTACAAATACCGGTAGAGTCGAGGGAAAAGTCACCCGCTTAATCTCGGGCTCTTCCGATAAATCCACGGTGCTAGCAGCTTTCCCCCCAGCCCCCCCCCCCTTACTCTGACTGACGGTGAAATCGAATATTGAGTGCATTTTGGCTTTTTCCCTACATATGTATGTATATTATATGCAGTGCACTGCTTTTCCCTCCCTCCCTTTTTCCTCTTTTGGGTGGACGCACGCCATTATAGTATAACGAAAGAGGAGGAGGGTGAGCTAGCCGCGCGTGTAATTTCATAAATCCGGCCGCCGCGCGGGAGAGCTTCGTTATTAGTCCGTTCGCGCGCTTATCGCCGATAAATTCGGCCGGCCACTGCTGTATACATGCGCGTATCCTGCATGGCTAATTTTCGCGGCAACCCCCTCCCCACTATATGTGCGTATATAACATGCACGTTGCGGTGTTGCATACGGCAGTTTCCAGTGGGGGTACGCCATGTGTCACGCTGACCATGTTGACGGGACCCCCTTTAGTATGGCGTATGGAATTTTTTATATCTCCTTCGCCCTTGTTTTGTATACGAGTTTGCAGTGTGTGCCGGTTAGTTGGAAATCATTTTTTTTTTTTTTT